AATTTTATCTTTTTTTTAAAAAGTAAAGATGAGAAAAATGGGTATGGCTGGTATTAGCCACGGTGCTGAATGTCACCTCGGAATTTGCAAGGGATTGAGCTGTAGGGCAGAGAGTATATAATACAGCAGTGTCATTCTAGTCCTCTGCGTGATTGCTACTTTGACTTCTTGCAGATCTATGCAGCAGGACTTGTGCATTAATTGGAAAAGGTGCTGGACCCTCCAGAAATGTGTCACTGTAAGTGAGATAACATGGAAATGCTCATAGTTGGCAGGGAGGGGATGTCAGATGTTCAGAGTCTACTGGGATTTTTTGCTGCATAAGGAGGTCAGGGAAAGGCCAGGATTACAGGGCTATGTTGAGAGTGTGGGCCTGGCCCTCTAAATATGGAAATCTCAGGGTATTCACAGAAGCACAAGTGGCATAATGCTATGGCCTTCCTGCCTGCATCTGAACCAAACTCCAACAGGCTGCAAAGTGGGATCCCCTGGGACCTGTGGATCACATCCACATGTCACGTGGGTATCCTGTGTGAGTTTGCTGTGGCCTGATGCTAAGTAGAGTGGGTTCTTTGGTCCTGCCCAGTCATGCCTCCCCATAACCTGAGGAAAACCTCCACACAGCATTCACCAGGAGGGGCTTTATGGGTTCCAATAGGATGCCATGTATGCTTCTCTCCCCTCTTACATACTTCCCAGTCACTTTTGGTCACTATTTCCATGTCCATTAATTAGCCCACTGTGCCTAAGAGAGGCCCATAGGGGTGGTATCCATGCATGCTGTACCCTGATCCTTTGACTTGTCCGCCTCTCTGAGGTCTCTGTGCTGGTGATAAGAACCAGTTGCAGCAGATATTTTGCTTTGTTGATAAATGTGGAGTAGGTTGCTAATTAATGGATATGGGCCAGATTGTTGTCCTGGATTTCATTGTTTTCTTATTTATAATAAGAATGGCCATAACTGTTGACATGTGGGTAATTTTTGTGAGTGAATAAGACGGTGACTCCGATGGCTGCAGCCACATTAATTTCACAGAGAGCCTTGAGAAAGGCAAAATGAAACTGTGACCCATGATTGAAGAGCAATCAGTTAACTAAATGGAATTGGCCATGTGGACTCTGTGACAGCTTAATTCCAAAAGGATTGAGAGGTTTCCAGGATAAAATAAGTAGATTAGCAAGACAGTGAGGCAACTTCTGAATTGCTCTACCATTACTGGCACTTTTCATTTTATTTTCAAAATGGAAAAATAAATACAATGGGGTGTTAGACATGCCCATTTTACATTTTCTTAATACAGTCCCATGACTATTGCCATATTTCTCCCATAACTTTTCCTAAAAAAGGAGAGAACAAAAAAATCACAGCCCTAGCTATGGTTATAGCTACAGAATGATGCTCATTCATACAGAAATAGCATGAAACACTGTCCTCAGGCTTAACTCATAGATCTGATCTATCGTTTAATAAGGAAACCTATTGAGATCAATGCTGTCAGTTTCACACAATTTACCACAACATGATATGGCCAGATCTAGAGACAGTTAGAATTGATTCCTGATGGCAGCCATTATTAGATACCCCATTTTGAGGTCAGACTCTTTTCAGCTCTCTAACATACAGTCACTGTATTTTTACCCCAATTATACTCTTTTGGAATTAAATGTAACTCACTATAACCAAAATGTTCTGCAATCCTCAAAGTGCAGGAAATCCCATGCAGAGAGCTCTGAAAAGAGAGAATTGAATTACAATGGGCAAATGAAATAAGATAACATGGTTCTACATGGGTCTCTTTTCTGTGTAGCTATAAAATAACCGTGTATCAGGAATGTGAATATGATAATCAGTTCATGTTCAGGGTTACATGGAGGCTCCTGGTATGCACAGGGAGCTGGCTTAAAACCCAGCTCCCAGTGAGCATCAGCTGCTGGGGAGCCACCTGCTACTCTGCACTGCTGCCTCTGTGCCAGTGGGAGCCAGTATGAATGAACATCAGTTCTTGGGGAAGCCACACCTCATGCTGCTGTCTCTGATACTGCCAACTGCCACCCCAAGAGTAACCATGTAACCGCTGAAATTTTCTGCAGTTACATGGTTACTAATTACAAGCATTTTAATATCCCTAGTAGGTATGCACCAGAATAGTATGATAACTCCGGTATTAAAATCAAACACTTTAGCCTGCAAAAAAGCATGCATTTCATAATAGTTAGAATGGCTTTTCCATGATTACTCAGTGTTGGCTAAACAACTCTCGTTGATGTTTGAATGGAAACAGTGTCAGGCCAATGCTGAGCACTTTTGAAAATCCCTCACATTTAAAGCACTCCCCCGTCCCCAAGGCCTTGCTGAATATCCATAGGAATATCTGTGCTCCCTTATCACATCATAGTTAGGATGTCCCCTTTTTATGCCCTTGCTCTATAAGCCCTGGCTATGTCTAGACTGGCATGATTTTCTGCAAATGCTTTTAACGGAAAACTTTTCCGTTAAAAGCATTTGCGGAAAAGAGCGTCTAGATTGGCACGGACGCTTTTCTGCAAAAGCACTTTTTGCGGAAAAGTGTCCATGCCAATCTAGACGCGCTTTTGCGCCATCGGGGCTTTTTTGCACAAAACAAATCTGAGCAGTCTACACTGGCCCTTTTGCGCAAAAGGACTTTTGCCCGAATGGGAGCAACATAGTATTTCCGCAAGAAGCCCTGAGATCGTCATGAGATCATCAGTGTTCTTGCGGAAATTCAAGCGGCCAGTGTAGACAGCTGGCAAGTTTTTCCGTAAAAGCAGCTGCTTTTGTGGAAAAACTTGCCAGTCTAGACACAGCCCCTCTGTTTAACAGTCTGTTGTGGAATGCTGTTGTTTCTATGCGTAACAACTTCTCCATGTTGGAGTGCGTGTTGTCCATGACAGTCATTTGGGACCACAAAGCTACTTGTGCAACTAAATGTGGCAATGAGCCCTGACTGAGTTGCCCCAGTCATCTCTTCTCTATGGAAACGCAAAGCACACCCCTAGAACAGTACATGCCACTAAGAGCACAGTTTTATGCATCACTAGTGCATTCTTCAAACTTTGTAGCAGCGTGTTTTGACACGGGCTAGAGCGAACTGTGACATTTGCTCTTGCACTGCTGTAGATCTGTCAATGCAGGAAACAAAAATATGCAAAATGTGTCACGCATAGGAGTTTGGGGTCTGCCTGGCTTGCCCGCTGATGACACACACACCCTTCTAATGCCCTTGATGTCAGATGGAAGAAACCCACATCATATAGGAAACTGGGCTGTCACTTACAGTGTGGGTGGGGACAGCTGCTGCTGCTGGCTTCTTGCAGCCGCAGCCACAGCCAGGTGCGAGTTGCTGAATGGGTGAGCGGGTGGCTTGTTCCCATGCTGCCTCTCGTGTGATGCAAACTCCACCTGCAGCCACGTCTATAACAGAGCCAGGCTCTCTCAGGGACCTGAAGTTACAACCGTTACCCAGCTGGCAACAAAAATGCCCTATCCAACCATCGGCACCGCAGACAGGCCCTTCCCGCTTGGGTCTTGCTCGGGGACACGCTTGGGCTTGTTTGGAGTCCAAGCGGACAAAAATAACAAGCGTTTGATCGGCCCACCCTTTGATCCGTTCTCACTCTGGGGGAGGGCTCGGGGAGGAAAGACAAGACCTAGACGCCCAGCTCCTGGGAGGAACGGGGAGATTGAACATCTCGCTGCATGGACACAATGTGTGTAAAATCAGTCGATTCTGCCCAGGTGCAGCTGACCTGCTGCCCGTAACTGTCCGCTGCGATGGTGCTGAAAGCAGGTTCCGGCTCCTCCTTCAAAGTCACTGCCCCTGAGCCACAGCTAGACAGCTGGGACACAGTAACTGGGAAGCCTGGCCAGTAGAAACTCCTATTATTCTAGTCCTAGACCTCATTGCGGATCCCAAAAATTATTAGCTATGCCCAGCACAAATCAGGACCTAGTCTCTTTTACTCTTGTACAAACGATCCCGCCTCACTCGCATATAAACGCCCCAAACTAGCTTTAGGATCGAATTCGAATTCGCTTTTCTGCCTCAGTTTCCCCTCAGTTTCTGCCCCTTGCCCTATTCGCTGAGCAGAGCGAGATCCTCCAGCCTCCAAACGAATGAGGAATGCAACTAAGGGGGGCTGGCTGGTCGGCTAGCTGAGGGAATAAGCCCAGAAGAACGGCATCCATACTGCCGAAGCCTTCGTCTCCTAATAAGATGCACAGCGGTAGCCGCACTCGTCCGGAAATGCGGCTTGTCCCAGGGCCAATATCCAGTTAATAGGGACTGGGACAAGATTGGAAAGTCTCATCGCTTAAACCAGCCCGCTTTTGAGGGGGAAAAATACCTGCCCTGGATTAATCCAGCCCCTTGACAGCCTTGCGCCCCCTCCCCCTTCTCTAGGTCGCGCCTGGGCTAGACTGCGCTCCCGGGGTTAATCGCCCTGCGGCAGGGGCGAGGGCAATGCAGGGCGCAGCTCTGCCCAAGACCCTTGCAGCAGCCGCTGGGTCGCTCTAACACCGCGAGCGCCATCTGCCCGGCGCTTTGCAGGACGCGCGACCCTGCCCTCTGCCCCGCAGGCCCCAGCGCTTGTCCCCCGCGGATTTACCCATCGCCGGGCTATTGTGCAGGCCGCCTGGGAGTGCATCCCCGGACTCAGCCCCTGCCCCTTCGGAGAGCGCCCCCACCGCTGGCTTTAGGCAGGAGAGACCTTCCCTTTGCCTCCCCCTCCCGGTGGGGTCGCTCTGCCTCGCGGGGGGGCGGCCTGCCCCCCCCCCCGCAGAAAAAGGGGATTAGGGCTGCTGCAATCAGGGCCGGCTTAATCCCCTGGAAGCGGGTTGAAATGGGAACAGCTGCAAATGGCCCCCATCGCGCTGCGCCGGGATCCGGCGGGGCGGGGGGGAGCCACAGCGCAGCTGCTCCCTTATGATGAAAAACATTCATCAGCTGCTCTTGGGAAGGGCTGGGCTGGCTCCGGGCCCCCCCCCTTCCTCCCCCCAGCCGCACAGCCCCGGCCACTGGAAACCATGGGAGAGATCCCTACGCTGGTGAAAATCAATGTCTCTCTCAAGATCCAGCCGAACGACGGGCCGGTCTATTTCAAAGTGGACGGGCAGAGGTTCGACCAGAACAGGACCATCAAGCTGCTGACCGGGGCCAAGTACACGGTGGAGGTGGTGCTCAAGCCAGGGGTCGTGCATGCCACGTAAGTGCACCGCACTGCAGGGCTGTGTCTGCTCCCCGCCCCGGCCCACGGGCTATATTTAGGCGTCTTAATATTTTTTCCTGGCAGGCGGACAGCGTGGGATTTCCATTGTTTTCCCCTCTCCTCGGGCTCTGCCTGTGTGGAGCTTTCCCTGGCTGCTGCATCAGCATCCTCCCTTTGTAATTACCCGGGATCGCTGCAAAGGGTGGAGATGGGGGGAGGGAGTTCTTTCCGAAGAGCTGCATCCTCGTTCCCTAGAGAGGGAAAAATTCTCACCTCACTCCCCCAATTAAGGAACGCCCCTGGTTTTTACTATTTCCTTATTGATTGTCTCGCCCCCTCCTCTTCCTCCCTTCCTTTGCTCTGGAAGGCGAAGAGGTTGTAGCTCCGGCCATAAGGCTCTGCAATTCTTGGGCAGCTCCCAAATGGGGATGGAAGAAGGGATTGGGAGAGTGGGAGATAGGTGCTGCTTTTGGCTGGAAATGAAGGGATAGCCAAGCGGGGAAGCCCATTAGAAGGGTTATAGCCCAACAGAAACAAATCAAATCTTTACCTTTGAATGCAGATAGGTTTGCTCTCTGGGTGAGTGCTCAGCCTGCTGCACCATCTGCCAAAATGAGTCGTCAGAACAAATTTTATTATGTGCTGTTTTAGCCTGCCAGAAAATAGGCCTCTGCAATGTTTCTGTGTTTTTCTGCATGGAATATAATTGGTCTTAAAGCTCAGGAGTGACTCCACCCCTCCCGGGTGTTTGTGTGCAGTGTCTGGGCATGCCACCTTTGTGTCAGTGCCATCCGCCTGGGTGAGAAGGGCACGTGTTTGTGTTTGTAACTCTGTTGGGGATAAAGGCTGTTCCAAGCTGCTTCAGGCCTGTCTGTTTCAGGACCATGGGTATTGGAGGAGTGACTGTCCCCTTGGAAGAGAAATCAAGAGATCCCCAGGTCGTCTGTTACACTGGAGTCTATGATACAGAAGGAGTGCCTCATACCAAAAGTGGGCAAAGACAGCCTTTACAGGTCAACATACAGGTACCGTCCCTCTGGGCATGGCAGCACACACTGGACACTATAGTGTGTATGGAGGCAAGGGAGATAATGGAATGAGAACTGAACGGAATGAGATCAGGGGAGGGTGTGCGATTCTGGTAGCTAGTAAATAGAGAGGGTTGTCAGTTTGTAAATCCCAGTCATTGTTTGTTTTAATGTACAGCTGTTAAGACGTTGCATGTGATACCCTTGCACACTGTGAAAGAGGCCATTGCACACACTGAAACCTCTATTGCTTGAGCCACTGTAACATCTGTGACCCTGAACTTGCCAGTCTCACTGAGCAGTACTTCAGAGGGAAGACCTGATCTGACCTCATGGCTCACTCAATTCGTTGAGCAGCTCCAGAGCTAGCAAAGCATGTTTCAAAGACCACACTGTTCTTTCTCTCCACGTTCCATGCAGACACTGGTATAACACACACACTCATTTGTCTTTAATAAAATTGATTTTCCTCCTAAGTTGCTCTCCCATCCACAGAAAGTACCCAGCCTTTGTACCTAGGTTGAAGTCAATGGGGGTCTAACCCTGGGCTCAGGTTCATAGGTGCCAGTGCTGAAAGTATTTATGTATTAGCTGAATTTTATGGCATTCCACCTTCTGAATCCACTGGAACTACAAACATATATAATTTAGCATGACTGCAGGGTGAGGGCTTTATTTTGCTATGCTGGGTCCAATCTGGCTGCTCTTACGTTTTGCATATCTAGGTCTAGACTCCTAGATGGAAGCAAATGGAGTCAAAATAATATACTTCAGGAGAGGCTTTATATTTCAGGTAATATCCTGTCTGTATTTTACATACTAACTTCTAGAATTATTTGGCACTCCTATGAAGCGATGATTAAAGTTTGGCAACGTTGTGAGCAATTAAACATGGGGTCTTGTCAGGGAAAATGTTGGGCAACCTCTACAATAGGTGGTGTTACCAACCCCTACCCCCAATATTATCCAAGTGCAGGAATGTAAAAAGACTAGGGAAAAGGAGTGCTATTATGCATGTTGTACCTGTTTCTAGACAAATAGCCATGGCAAATGTGAAGCAAACATTGCTTCCACTTCTAATAATAACCATGTCTGAAGAGTCTGCTGTGATTGGATACTAGAATGTTAGGGCCTCAATAGTGCAAATAAAAGAATCAGTATCAACAGTTACAACTGCAGTATGTGGAGTGAGGTAGACCATTCCATTTCATGCTTTGTCTAAGTTTTTTGGCTTGGATTAAAATGTGCTAAGTAGTTGAGAGTAGGGTGGAGGTGTCTTGATTTTTCTGGCTCACCTGAATGCTAAATAATTTTATTTACAAATCAGTAGGGAATCTGACAATTCTCAGTAAGTTCCAACTATTGTATTGTGCATAGGAGGGAAAAAAGTGGACAAAGACATCCTGGTAGTTTTGTTCTTCATTACATTT